GAAGAATATCATGAGTTGGACAGGCGTGGCATAAAGCATGGAAGAATCTCACCAGCGTAGGGCTGGAAAAATAGCAAGGAAGGTCAGATAGAGTCAGACAGAGGCCCAGCCTCAGAGAGGGCACCTGGGCAGCCCAAGGGTGTAGCTACTGCGTGAAGTCCAACCTGGCAGGCAATTTCATCTTGAGAAGTTACAGGTAGCTAGCCCATTTAGAAGTCAAGACAGGCCACAACCAGGGTCAGGAGATTACTGATAATGACAGCAGGATTCCCTCCAATGGGCAATTTAAGAGGAACTGGATATATTCCACATAAAGAAAGCTTAGATGGAGATTTTAGGCAGTACACTAGAGCCCTATTGGTATCTGGGGTCCAGCCAAGCCATTTTGCCATCAAGCACTATAGGCAAAATGTCTACATTCTACAAATTTCTCAAGGGTCTTAAACAAATTATTGGCTCCAAAATACATAAAGAAAACTACAATATTAAAACTAATATAACATTATGTTAAAAAGTCAGCTACAATCCAATGCTTTTATAGTGATGTGTAAATTATGTTTATCATGGGGTGTGAATGTGTTTGAATGTATTTAATATAATGTGGGAAGGTGTCTCTAAGAGTAAAAGTGCCTGGGGTCTAAAAATCTTTAAATGGGGATGATCTAGTACAGATGAGGATTAATGGACGAGGCAGTATTAAATAGTCAGATATGAAGGAACAGAACTCTAGAAAAGTCATTCTGGGAATTCACATATTGGCCAAACACAGGAGATGCTAAGGCTTGACTGGAGTGGGGAGAAGACTGAGAATTCTGACCTTGCTTCTGGTACATCAGGTCCTAGATCTGGCTAGAAATAAGGGGTCCTCTCAGGGGATGCTTATGAAATCGTAAAACATGCCTGGACTCTTGGATTCCAAATCTGAAGGACATGATATAGTTCCAAATCTGCTGCTGCTTAATTCCTAAATGAGTCAGGAGTGGCTCAATGACCAGGGCAAGATGAATCTTGGGGGTGAGTCAACACAGTGGGGAAAGTTGCCAGATAACTCAAAAAGACGTAGAAGAAAGCAGGTAGACATGTCCACCTGTTAGTTTGGGGCTCCAACGCTTCAAGGGGCATATAAGCATATTGGAAACTACTGAGCAGAGAAAAGCTTCATAGACTGAATATATCTTGGGAAGGACCAGAGCCTGAAGAAGGAAACACTGAAAGGGATCATGAGAGGTGTCCTCAAAACTGGGAGGTGCTGTCATGTAGAAAAGGTACTGGGTTTGTTTTCTATTACCACAAGGAGCAGACAAGGATCAGATGATGAATGCTCTCCAAGAAGATGAATCTTTACTTATTACGAGGACATATTTTCTAATGATTACCTAGAACCCTAATTAACTACTGAGTTGACTGAGAAAATAGTGAGATGGCCATTCCTAGGGACTGGATGACCACTCCAAGGGTGGGTTGTCAGATAGGAGTCAAACGTGAAGTGGACTGTTGCACAGATTTGTACTTACAGTTTCTTAATACCGTGAGAGTGTTTTAAAAATCTGGCTTCCGTGGTTTGTTTGCTGCTTCTTAGGATATCATGGAGATACAGAGATGGATGAGAAAGGAATCCAAAGTAACCTTTAGAATAAATGTTATAGCAGATTTGGAGCCACTGGAAGGATTAGACCCACTTGGCTTTCTTATGTGCTTCTGAGATGCACCATTACAAGTATCTAATAACCTTCTAATGGAAAGGATCTACACAGCTACATGAGCAGAGATATTGATAAATTCCTAATATTTCTGCCCTCCTGTGGAAGGAGTAGGAGGAAGTGGGGAGGGACAGACTACTAAGTTTATTTCAATAGGACATTTTCTAACCAGAGTTGAAATGCTGATCATGAGTGTGACTTCAGTTAGGTGCTAGCAATGACTGGTGTAAACAGGAAGGGAAGATACTGGCTCTTGTAACTGGACCAGCCACTCTCCACTCAGCATTTCTTGCTTGCAAACAGCTAAAGAGAGAGAGAAATCTGTCCTCTAACTTTTGAACAAAAGTCCTGGGTTTTTCTAGGACTGGACCAACTTGGATCACATGCCTATTTCCAAGCAATTAATTTGGCCGAGGGACTGCTATGACCTAATTGTCTTAGACCTGGGTTATTGCCTAACCCTGAGCCACTCATCACAGCAAAGGGGATGGTATTTTAGTGGCTGGCCTAAGTCAATCCTCACATCATGAAACTTGAGATGAGGCTACGGCTGCTCCACAAAGGGAAATACATCTGTTTATACCCATTCATGGATTAGAAGCTTAAATCTCTACATTATCTAAAACACAGTTAAGTACAATTTTAGACCATCCTCCCAGCTCTATTTAGCACAGTGGGGAGTAATTTTTATTTCCAGATTAGAAAATTCATCCAAAATAGAGTGTTTCAAATAGCAAAGAGGACCACTAACATCCAGATACGTCTACATTTGTACCAGCTCCATGCATCTTTATCCATTGACATCAACTTAATTTTATCTGCACTTTCTGCACCACTAAGAAGTCCCCAGGGGCTGAGAGGAAATTTTGAGAGCTTCTGTGTAGTTATTGTTGCTAGGAAACAGCATCCTTAGTATCCAAGTGTTTGAGCTTTGAGACGCTGTGTGCAGTCACTGGTTCATAAAGGAAAACCTTTGGTAAATAGGTTGTTTAGGTGTGAGTAAATTGATGTTCACTCTCTGTGGCAAAATGTTCTTGTGTACCCTTTGAATAATAGTGTATTTCTAGGCCTCTATTTTTTCCTTTGGATCCAGCTGCCATCATTGCTCCCAGGAGAACTCAAGCTTCTACCTGAAATGGAGTGAGCGTTCTTTTTTTTCCCAAATCATCTGTAATTATCTCAGTGTTTTGAACACTAAGCCTAACGGGTTTTAGTTAAACAAAGTGCAAGTGATCTTGGAAATATAGACCCAGACCACTGACTGTATAAATTGCTGAACACTGTTAAAATTTGCATTGATTGATAGGCAAAAGCCATGACAGTGCTTTTATTGTGCATGGCATTGAAGGGTTCTGCACTCTTCAGAAGCAGCAGACAATGAGAGGTGCTGTTTTGGCTCACCCACTGTCTTCTCCCCTCTCAACCCCAAACTGAAAACCATCTCTGGACTCTCAACTCTAGTCATCGCTTACATGTTTCTCCCCTAGGATCCTATAATTAGAAGACCAGTTTGAGGTTGTAATTTATCACCTAGTTACTCAGTAAGCTAAAATTAACAATCAGCTTTTTCTATTTCCTTGGTGCTCAAACCTACATGTAAGGTCTCTGTGAGGACAATCCTCTTAATCAAGGACTAAATCCAGCTCAAGAATGGTACTAAATGTTACCCATATGAGGTTACCAGTTTGGGACAATAAATTTAGAACAATTAAGCAGCAAACAACATTCAACAATGCATTTATTCAAAAATATGTATTGGATACTTACATAGACAGAATCTTTCTAGGCATCAGGAATTTTTTTAAATGAATAAAAGAAGATTCCTGCTTCCAAATGCTTATAAGATAATGAGGGATGGAGGAGACAAAAGCAGAACTAAACGCAATGCTATGTAAACAGATGAAATATTTTCATGATAAGATGTGCTATGTAACTGATGGAGTCCCATAAGGAAAGCAGGAAACCCCTCAAGGTTTTTCAAAAAGGGAATTTAATAGAGAAAACTGGCTACAAAGACTGGAAGGGCTGGAAAAGCAAAAGGGAGAAGAAGAAAAGGGTGCTGAAGGAGCCAAAGCCAGAAGCTGCTAACAGCCCTGTGCTAGAGTCCATGAGTCTGATTCTGCTGGATCCCATTAGAGATGCTGTTCTAATTGTTTGCAGAGTTGCCAAAAGAGGTGCTGCGAGAGTCTGAATCACCCCCCCTGCCCCAGCAGCAGTCACCAGCGACTGCAGCACTACCACACTGCCAGAGAGAAATCAAGAGCCATCCCTCCCACTTCCACCTTCTAATCTTCAGCCAGCTCTTCCTAGGGGCAGCATCTAACATGGAGCCAGGAGCCAGGGAGGCAAGCCCCAGCAGCACAGAGCAAAGTGTAGAAAGCAGGATATGAGGCTCAGAAACAGCAAATGAACAGCTGGCACGAGCCACAACAGAGGTTGTGATGAAAAGCTCTGGTAATCTCAAGCCTGGAACAAATAATTCTTCCCTTAAAGAGAAAGAAAGTGTATCGATCCAGTTTCTGTTGCAGATAACAGAAGACCATTTGGCTAGCTTAAGCAGAGATATAATTTAGGGAAGTGGTACTTACAAAATTAAAGGACTAAAGTTGTAGGCTCTAGGCTGGGGTCAGAACCACAGTGCAGACTGGCCCTCCAAGGGCACTGACTGGTAGCTGCATCCCAGTCAGGATGCTGGTAATCTGGTAGCTCCATCCACCACGTTGACTCCAGGACCACAGAAAGCTAAAACCAGAACTCCTGGTTCCAGAGCCCTCTGTACTATATGAGCTGCACCAACAAAGTAAGTGCCTCAAACACCACCTCTGCCATCACTTACTCCATCTAATCCAGGGAACCTAAATCATATCCACAACCTTAGTTGCAAGGGAATCTGGAAAATGTAGTTTTTAGCTTTCCTGAAGATTAGAACACATGATAGGGGAAGTCAATCCACAGAGTACCTGCCACAGAAGTATTCAGAAAGGAATTTTGTGGTGAAATATGTAAAATTTGAGATGAAATTTGCAAGCTCCAAGAAGGTTGGAGCCATGTCAGTTTTATTCACATTGTACCCTCAGTACTTTTCCAGCACCTGGCACACAGTCAGCACTCAATAAATATCTACTCATTGAACGAGTCGAGACACGTCCATAGGTTAGTGCCTGGTTGTCAAGTTAAGGTTGGTAGCACAAAGGTAGGAGTGCTGATGATGAGAAGCAAGAACAATATTCTACAAACTTCCATTGGATACTGACAACATGCTGGAAATGTGGTACATATGCTTGATAATGAGGTACAAAAATGAATGAGACCCGGTCTCTGACCTCAGGGAGCTCAAAGCCTGGTGGAAAAAAGACAAATAAGCCAAATAAAATTCAGCCTGGTTCTGTGCTTTGTTCAAGGCAAGCACATAGTCGAGGTGACAAAAGTCGATCGGGACTGCTTGCCTTAGGTATCTGCCAACACTTCTTCCTACACTCAATCATGGCTACCTAATCACTTTGCTTTCTGGGCCCAGTTTTACCTTTGCATACTGAAACCTTTGAGGATTTTATAGTGTTTGTATATATTCAACTTTGCCCTGTAAATTTCAATGTCCTTGCTAAAAATGAGTTACTTATTGAGTAAAGTTTATGAAGTAAATCAGTTTCCCACTGACATCATCCTACCTGTGTCTTATTCTCTCTATAGGTTATTCACCCTACATGTTATTCCCTCTGCCAGGCAGGCCTGCTCCACCCATCTGGCCAAATCTTCTGCAAAGCCATCTCTAACTCTCGCGGATCGACAGTTTGCTCAGATTGCTGTTAGACCGTGAGCTCCTGAAAAGCAGGGCCAAGTCTAACCCACTACATATCCTTAGTGCCTAGAATAGTGCTTGACACATAAGAGGCACTAAAGCGTGTGTACCGGAATGTTGAATATAGTTTCCATTGATTTGCCTTGCCAGTCTAGAGGTGGTGGCATTCTGTGCTTCAGCAGGGGTCCTGATGGATATCTAGGAAGATGAGAGGTTGTACCCAGAGAAGTTGTTCATGGCAGGGTAGAAGAGTCAGCAAAGACCTCATGTTACAGCACGCAAGAAGGGGAAGCGAACAAGGAGCTGCTGCTGTTGGGTGACTCTGAAGCTAACACAGAAGCCGTGTTCTATCAGCCCTCTTTTCACTGCGTACTAGGAACAGGCCACCCAAGGGCCACGAAGCTAATGACAGAGGCATAATGAGGTCAAAAGCTGTAGGTAAATCCAGCCCCAAATTGCGAAAAGAGCAGAAGTTCATATTCAGGCTTTGATCTATAAATAGTGTTTCTCTCCACAGAGACTCTCTAGATACGGAGTTTAAGAAATTCCTCCGTAACAAATACTCACAGTTCAAATATACTATGTTGACAACTAAAAGCAGAACTACATGCAGTCTAGCTCAGAACAGGACAGCTGTTCATTTGTGAAATGTGAGGAGCCTGACAAGAACTGGCCTGAATGAAAGACCCCCCCCCAGCCCCATATAATGGTGAGCAAAGAGTATATCAGATGCTAGCCCAAAACCCACTCCCAATCAAGTCAGACAAGAAGAGAGCTTTAAATTTGGGCTGTGTTATCTTGGCTCCTTAAAGGATATTTTAATACTAAATTTACTTATTTTGATTCCATCTATTTTTATGAAAAACTTACCTCTTATGCCATCTTCCTTAATAGATGTTGCTGAGGCATTTTTCATGACATGAGAAAGGTTCATGGGAGAAATTTCTCTCAGGCCTGGCATCAGCACTTCTTATTCCAAGCCAATTGGTTGGTTTTTATCCCATAGACATTGTAAATTTTTTAACTGATCTGATTTGTGTTACTTGATAGAAAAGTACTTTTATGGCTCTGAAGAGAGACAGGTTCAGATAGTCCTGGAAGCTCATTTCCTCCTTCCTGGCAGAGAGCAGACGCAAGAGATCTGAATTAACTCCACGGAAGCACAGGCTAGTCCCAGGTGCCAAGTTCCTAAGGCTACACCTTTCTGAAGGCCGCCTCCTTTTTACCTTCACTTGCTAGGAATTTCCTCTCCAGCTCCTAGACTGTCTTCAAAATGAATTTCTAGACCAACTGAACTCTGTTTGACTATGCTATATTTCTTGGTTTCAGATGGCTATACGACTGATGACATTGAGTTTTACTGGAATGGAGGAGAGGGAGCAGTAACCGGAGTTAATAAAATTGAGCTTCCTCAGTTTTCAATTGTTGACTACAAGATGGTGTCCAAGAAGGTGGAGTTTACAACAGGTGAGGATGTTTACTCCAAAATGAGCCAGGGGGCACTGTGAAAGGAGGAATATTTTTTCCAATCAAGTGATGACCTGATTTTTCTCTTTCTTTTTTTTTTTTCAATTCAGGGGCATATCCACGACTGTCACTAAGTTTTCGTCTAAAGAGAAACATTGGTTACTTCATTTTGCAAACCTACATGCCTTCCACACTGATTACAATTCTGTCCTGGGTGTCTTTTTGGATCAACTATGATGCATCTGCAGCCAGAGTTGCACTAGGTAATGCATTCCTAGCATTGCAGAGAGCTGGTGGGACTTAGCTTCAACCAACCAACCAATCCTGCCCTGGTGGTCTAGTGGTTAAGATTGGGCACTCTCACAGCCATGGCCCCGGTTCATTTTCCAATCAGGGAACCAAACCACCTGTCTGTTGGTTGTCATACTGCAGAGGCTGCGTGTTGCTGTGATGCTGAAAGCTCTGCCACCAGTATTCCAAATGCCAAGAGGGTCATCCATGGTGGACAGGTTTCAGTGGAGCTTCCAGACTAGGCAGACTAGGAAGAAGGACCTGGCCACCCACTTCCAATTGGCCAAAAACCTTATGAACAGCAGTGGAGCATTGTCTGAGATAGTGCCAGAAGATGATGGTGCAAAAAGATCGGGCAGGGTTCCTTTCTGCTGTACACAGGATGGTTAGGAGTCAGAATCCACTCAAGGTCACTAACAACAACAAACCAACCAATGTTAGGAATTACAGGCAAGGGCTTCTCTCATAGCAGGCCAAAGAATGAGATTACCATTGATAATAAAACAATAAGTGTAAGCACTTACAGAGTGAGTGTTTTACAATGTAATATCTTTTAGCATTTAACAAATTAAAAAAAATCATGGAGTATGTTAAGCACTATATAAGTGTTTCTTAGAGTGTATTTTTGAATTCTCATTATGCTAATTTTTATAGACTTCGTGGTGATTTCTTCTTTGATCTCTGCTTTTTACACTGGCGAACATTTACAATACATTATTCTCAATGGACTTGGAGAAAGCTAAACCTTGTCGCTATTAACAAGCTATGTCAATTATTGGGAAATACTATCTTTTGAATATTAACTAAAATTAAATTTTATCGATCTGAGTCCCCCTTAAACGGAGCTCGCTGCACTTGAATAAGGCACAGACAATTCATCAGCTATATAAATGATCTGTGATCAGGACAGAATAAAAATGATTTCCCTCCTGGGGGAACAAAATTCAGAATTAATCTTGCTATGGCTGAGTAATTGCTGCAAGCTGAAAGGCTATATTTGAGGCTTTTAAAAGGTTCCTTGGAAGGTTAGAATATGTAATGTCTGTTTGGTGAATCTGAGCATTTGTGGGTTCACCTCATTATTTGATCCTGGACCCATTTCAGTTATCACTTTCTGGGGCCTATTCACGCACGCGCACACACAGACACACACACACACACGAACATGAAAGAGCATCATTTCTGGCTAAGCTAACATATACATTGTTTCTCTTCTGAGACTATCCAACTGGGTTAAATGATCAGCATATCCTTCACGCCTAGACTAATTGTCATCTCTACAGCTTATTTCTAATGACTGAGTACATAATGCTCACAAAGTTCAGCGCTGGCAGCTGCTTGTCAACCTTTGAACATTCCAAGACTGAGGAAAGTAAACAAATAGTTTATCATACCATACGTATGTGTCTGCACATATTATTTGAATGTGAACATGAGTGTGTGTCTGCAACAGTTAAGGAAAAAACATTGGGTGATGTCCCCAGTAGGGCATAACAATTATCAAGGTCTTGAATTGTGTTTCTCTTTGTACTTCTATCCTCAAAGCTAACGATATTTTGACTAGAGATGTCAGCATATAAAGATGATGACATAACTTCTTCTTTGAAATGTAAAACCTGTGATATTTTAAAACTTATGTAAGTAAAAAAGACATACATTTACTAACTCTTCTTGCTTAAAAATTTAAACCAAGAAGTAGAAGCAGAAATGCAATTAGCAGATTCCTAAATGCATTGTTTGTTTCTGGCAAGGACATTAACTAGAATTATATTAGGTGAAATCTAAAATTTTATTCAAAGAAATAAGTAAGACTGCTCATGATGGCATTTCATATCAGTCCAGCACATGAATTCATTACTGATCTGAACCATTTTAACTTTTTGTATGGTTGTCCTGACTTCCTACTTTATCTTTTCTGCTAAAAGTTGAATAGTCATATCAGAGAATCTATTCTTGAATAATCCAATGGGCAAATGAATGCTAAACTGTTTTTTTTCTCTTGTCATTTTCTACTTCCCACTCCCTTTGCCAGCTTTCCTTTGTCTTAATATCCATTTCACACTTCCCATCTTTATTTTTAAGGGCTGCCATCAAGTTTCAGATTTTATCTTCTCATCTCTCTGCTTTTACTTTAAATGACATTCTTTGACACCTCCTTGCTTTGTTGCCCCTAGCTGGGTGATCTACAGCAAAATAACTAATCTCAGAATTTCTGTTTACTCAGCTATCAAATGGGTGTAATATATCTGCCCTATTCTACTCAGCAGGCTGTTATGACAGCCATAGAAGATAATTTAGAAATGTTAAGTGTTTAAAACTGTAAAAACTCTATAGAAATGTGTAGTGTTAGTATTATAGCACAAACTATCTACTTGAGATTTCAACCTCTTTTTCACTTCTTATTTTTCCCAATTATCACTTTATCATCACCATCTCAACACAAAATATTTATTACGCAGCCACACAAACATTATATTATTAAGAACACGATATTTAGCAAAGTAGATGAAGCAGAATCTTCCTTTTAAGAGATTACAGTCTTAAACTTCTTTGACAAGTGCAAGTTGAATTTTTTTTTAATTGATGTTTTAATAGTTTTTAACATTGTGAAATTTTGGGTTGTACATTTTTGTTTTTCCATCACCATATATATGACTCCCTTCACCCCTTGTGCCCACCCCCCACC